GGCGGCCGTGCGCACTTTGGCCGGGCCGGGAGTCGGGCGGGCTCCGGATTGGCCGAGCTGCTCCTCCGCCGCTCCCCATTGGTCCATCGCGTTTCCTCTCTCGCTCAGCCTCCGACCTTTTACCTTAGCGATGGGGAAAGCGGGGGAGGCGGGTCCGGGAGGGGTTCGGCGACGAATGAGAACGGGGCGATCTGGTGCGATGTGATTGGAGGGCAGGGCGCGAGTGGGCGGGGAAGAGGCGGAGCTACAGTCCAAATCGCCGTGGCCCCGCCCATAGCTCTTGGGGCGGGTAGGGGAAGCGCTGCGGATGAGGGGAGGAGGAATGCAGATGCTGGCAGGGGATGATGGGCGTTGTAATGCAGGGTATCTCGGAGGGCTTCAGGGCAAGAGTGCAGTCGCGTTCAAGAGTCCATTAACAAGTCTGGTAAAATCGGAGCGGGTCCTGTAGTGCCAAAGGGCTCTTTTAAAATAGAGACAAGAATAAGACTTTCCATCAGCCTTGATCGTTTTCCAAAATGTATGAAAGGATGAGCAATTTTAAATTAAAAATAATAAGATGAAAAAAACTCCATGAAACATTAAATTTGAATTTTAAATGCTTGGGAAGGTTTTTTTTTTATCTCTGTCACGAAGAACAATTTTATTTTATTTGTCTAAATCCAATCCAATAAAGACAGGCGGGGAATTGCATCATCCCCCCCCCCCCCCCCCGGATTTTAACACGGTAACCTTTTAAATCATCAGGATATTCCACTGTGTTTAATGGGGCTTAGCCCAATCCCGTATAAACAAGTGATGGATGAAGCTGGATTGTTTAGGATTAACTTAATTTACCATGAGAGCGTGGCCCACTCGACTCTGCTTGAAAGCTGCCCAAGTGAGGTGAAGGAAACCCAGGGTGGCTGGGCCTTACAACTGCATGAACCATAATGGCCTGAACCGTGGCTTACCGAACTAAGCCAGTTGCCAGGGTTCACTCAGCCCCTTTATCTGCTCAATCTCCCATGACCCCGAACCACAGCCTGCAAACCAGTCAAAGGTAGATCAGGCGGGACGCAGAAGACCTGCCTTTCCCGCTCCGGCCACCGCCCTCCGGACCATCTTTCCCCCACGCGGGTGGGGCAGGCCCCACCCCTGCTCGCCTCCCAGAAAGCCCTGAGGACCTCGGGGATCCCACGGGGAGCCGGCAAGGTGGCTGCACACTGTTGGGGGATTCTGATTCTGCCCCCGTCTTGGTTTTTTAATGCTTTTATTCGTGTTTCAGTGTTTTAAAGATCCTTACATTGTTTAACCGTTACCGTGCTTGTACAATAGTCGCATTTTGTGAGAAGGGCAGCTATGCTGCATAAATTTGCTAAATAAATAAATGCATTTTTAACAAAAATGCAAACCCAGCCTGAACTGAAAAGCGCTACCTTGGCATATCTTTACATTACGCGTCTATTAATTTAACAGACACGATCGACTTGTTTATGTCTGTCTGTTTGTTTAACCCCAGAACGCTGAATCCCAGCTGGCTGGGGCAAGGCAAGGCAAGCCCCCCATGCTGGTTCGTGAGCCTGCAGGCCCCTCGCCTCTCTTCCCCGCCCCGT